TGTGTGTGTGTGTGTGTGTGTGTGTGTGTGTGTGTGTGTGCTGCATTGCGCTCAGACCAACGGCCTCTTCCTCTATCATTCTCAGCTTTATTGATTGATTGACTGATTGATTGATTGTAAATCCCGGAGCTTCAGGTTTCAGCTAGCCTGCCCTTCTTTTGCTTTTAATCTTGTAAAACCCTCGGAGTCTAAAGCAATATATAACTCTTTGCACAGCCCGGTGTCTACTCTTTATCCCACTAAAAAGCACTGCAAACCAAATGATGTTCCCTTTTGTTCTCTAGTTTATTTCAAAAGCCTTACAACGCAATACGATTTCAAGTAACAGCGGGAGAAGTGGATCTTTTCAGGACAGTGTCGGCTGGCCTCACCATCATTCAAACAAATGCAATTACGATGCATTCCACATCCAAGACTCCACAGAGCTGCTGAAACTGGGGCCCTTTGCGGGGCCTCCACTGCAGCTGCGCACCAGAGTGGCAGAGCCGGTCAACTTCAAATCCCAGAAACCCTGGGTCCCGGAGTGGACTACATTTCCCAAAGGCCTGCGCGTCCTCAGTCCTCCAACCCTCCCCACCCCTAGCCCCGCCTCCCCTGTGAGTTTCAGCCGGCCGCTGGGCTTCTGTGCTTGGCTTTGAGGCTTGGGGCAGAGCTCTTCGGGGCTGAGTCTCCACGCGTGACTCGAAGCCTTCATGAGGCGTGGCGGAAGCCAGAGGGAGGTGAGCGGCGTGGCCAGGCTTGAGGACATGGAGGCCTATGGCGGCCCCAGCTTGGGCTGCCCTGAGCCACTGGTCCCCTTTCTGGGGTTTTCTCTTGGGTTCTGGAAATTGACCTTTTGACAACTGCGCTGTTGGGTGGGCAGCACGTGGAGTGGAGGAACACCGTCCTAGGACTGTGTCAGACCTGAGCAGATGGAAACGGCTGCGTCCTCACAGTGACTCTGGCCTCAGTTTCCTAACCTGAAGGGGCCGGCGGTGCCAGCTGAGCTGTGGTGAATAGTGATGCCTGGCACTTGGGGGCGCAGTGAGTCCCCTCTAGGATGGAGTCCATTGTCGCCTGAGTCTTCTCTGATGCCCATCCCCAGCTCCTGCTTCTCTCTCTGGAGGCAGGAGAGCCAGGCTCAGCTGATGCTGATGGGACACATTCGGAGATGGTGCTTCTGAGGGTGCGAAGTAGTCCGACTTTTTTCTTCCCTCAGATCACATTTTTGGAGACTGTACCCATCCTTGAGAAAAGCCCAGAAAGAGACCATGACTCCAGAGCAAAGGGAAGGGAAGCCTCAGGTGAGCGCGTTGCCATCTCAGTTCTTAGTAGAAGGTGGGTTTTGTATGGTTTTGTTTTTCCTTTCTGAGTGAAGCCCTGCATTCAGGATTTGGTCCTTCCTCGTGGGTGATTTATGTAGTGAGCACACCGCATGTCTAGCCTTGCTGTTGACTGATCCCAGTCTGCTGTGTACTTACTAAATTGACAGTGACATACAAGTGCCCTTTTGTTTTGTTTTTGTTTTTCAAGAGAGGGTTTCTCTGTAGCTTTGTCTGTCCTGGAACTAGCTCTTGTAGACCAGGCTGGCCTCGAACTCACAGAGATCCTCCTGCCTCTGCCTCCCAAGTGCTGGAATTAAAGGCGTACCACTCTGCCCGGCTGCAAGTGCCCTCTTATCACTAGGGACACATCTGGGGAAAGTTCTTCTGGTCTCCTTCCTTCGTGTAGGCTTCTCTCAGCCCTCACTAAGAGTGCTCGTCTATTTCTTTTTGCCCTTGAAAATACTTACGATGCCCCCTCAGCCTTCTCCAGCCCATAGCCCGCCCCCCACTCTTTGGAACCTAAGTTTTGATTGGAGCATTTGTGTGAAAACTAATCGTGACCTGCCATTTTAAGGTGCAGGAATTTAAAGGATGCCCCCACCTAGATGAGACATCACGTGGACAAAGGAAAGCCATGCGGCAGGGGACACAGTTTCAGGAGCATGACTCTGAAAGCAGGGAGACAATGTCTCAAGAAGCCATGAAGAAAATCAGTGAGCACAGAGGTCAGGAAATGAGATGCTCAAGACAGCTGAATTTTAACCCATCTCCTCCATTACCATTTGTGGGCCTTGGGAAAGTAAGTCTAACTCTCTGTGTCTCAGTTTCCTCACCAATAAAATAAAAATAACAACCCTTGTCCTCTTCTATAATAGGTCAGAGAATGGCATAGTTAGTTGGTGGAAAGTGTTTAGATCAGGCCAGGCTCATAGTGATGACCCAGCCTTAGATACTGTGGCACCAGACTACACTGTATTAATAATACAGGTTATCTTTGGACCCATACAGGGCTGGGATTTGGGTAGCTCCATTTCCGTAAGCCTTCACATTCCATCTAGGAGAGTCAAGTTTTGTTCATGTCCTGAACCTTCATCCCTGCGTGTGTATGTGAACCCTGTCCTACATCTTGCTTATCTTCTCCCCCTGTGTCAATACTACAGTAAAAACAAAAACAGAAATCCTCAGGGTCCAGAAGTTTAAGACCAAGGAAAGAACAGAGTAGGTTCTGTGTTCACGTCAGAAATCTTCAGTTGTGGTGCTGCTATCAGTGGTAAAGCCTGTGACATTCGGTTTTGGCAGCTGCTGACCTCACATTCTTGTTTCTGAAGTGAGGGTTGAAGCAGGAGATTGGAATGTTGAAATTATTTTATGCATGTTTCTATGCACTGATTAGAGCAGAAATTCTTTAAAAGCAAAGACCATCTTTTGTATTCTCTTCATAGTAAATTATTTTTTCTCTATAGGCATTGCAAGCATGTGGAAATTAAGAGTAAAGAATCTTGCTGGCCATGGTGGTGCATGCCTTAAACTCCAGTACTAGGAAGGCAGAGGCAAGCAGATCTCTGTGGGTTTGAGGCCAGCATGATCCTACCATATCAAGTTCCAAATTCATCCAGAGCTATATAGACCCTATCTCAAAAACAAAAACAAAATAAAAAACTCAAAAGAACCTTTATCAGAAAATCTTCTAATTACCATGATGTGCACTAATGGTCATACTCCCTGTACGCAAAGCCAGACTCCTACCCACCGCTTCTCTCTGTGTACTTGTCACTGGTTGAATTGATCATTAAATGGGTGATCCGGCCCCTTTAGAACCTTCAGTGACATCAGCAGCATTTCACGATGGCCTGTCCACCTTCCACCCTGTCATCTCCCTCATGCTGTATGAGGCTGGGCCTAGAGTTGGTGACTTTCCCTCACAGCTGTCAGTGACGTTCGAGGATGTGGCCGTGCTCTTTACTCGGGATGAGTGGAAGAAGCTGGACCACTCTCAGAGAAGCCTGTACCGGGAGGTGATGCTGGAGAACTACAGCAACCTGGCCTCCCTGGGTAAGGGCGCTCCCTGGGGGCGTAGATTCAGAATGAGACCTAGCACCGCCTTCCCTGAATGAAAGCTGTGGTTATTAAAACACCCTAACTGGGTTTTGCTGTAGGGCTATAGAGATCAGATCTCTATAAATATTGGAACTGTTTGCCACTTGCAGGTGTTTAAGTGCCCAAAATAAGAGAACAAAGGGGGCTGATACTGTCTGTAGTTTGGCAGTAGAAATCCTTTCAGGGTTGAAGCTGCATTTTCATATTATATTTATTCTGTGCTGCCTGTAAACAAAGACTTCCCTCAACCCTCCTTGCCTACCTCTTTCTTGCCTCTCCCACTTCCTCTTTTGCAGTCAGGTAAATGCTATATACTTTATCCTTTAAAAGGGATAAAATTGTGTTTTCCTACTTTAAACAGGCTACTTGACACCTAATCTTTTTCACAGATACCTGCTTATAAGTTTTTATTCTGCCTGTACACCCAACGTTCCTTTTCTAGAACTGCCTGCTTATCGTGTTTCCATAGTGTACAGTTAGTTCTGCCAGTCATGTCCTATGAGCTACTTGGCCTCTGCTCAACACATCCCATCAGATGGCAGGGAACAGCCTAAGTACCCTATAAAAGTGTTCTGTGCCATCTCCTGAGCTTCCCACACAAATATGCAATGTTTGTTCATGTTAAAACAAAACTGAGCCTTTTTTATTGTTAATTTTGTTTGTGATCAGGATTTCCATTTACCAAACCAAAAATGATCTCCGTGTTGCAGCAAGGAGAAGAACCCTGGAAAGCAGAGAAAGAAATTCATGGTGACTCCTCTCTTGGTGAGTGGGCGGGCCTGAGATACCCCAGAATCTCTACAAAATCAGAATAGAAGGTAGGCTCAGTGACTGGAGACTGCCCTAGACCAGCGGGTTCTTTAGTAACAGGGCTGTTAAGGGGGAGGACCAAGGATGAGAAGATAAAGAAGATAGGAAAAGTGGGTCAGGAATGTCTATGGCAAACAAGTTTATTAAGAAGTACAGCATCTGCTAATCTATTTGTCGTGCGAATGGGAGAGTCAGCGGAAAGCTATCAAGTGGGACGATGCCAGCAGGAAGCTAATCAAGCAATGTTACACAAAGAAAACACAGCAGCCTTGGGACTGCGAACCTCAGCTCTTTGGTGTTAGAAGAGTTGTGTTCTCGTGATCTGAAGCTGAAGCCCCCCAAAGCCCTGCCCACAGGCCATTACTAACTTTGCCAAGCATGTTCCCTCTTGGATCAGCCTATTCTCAACAGATTTCTTCAGGTACTTGATCCTCAAGGACTGAGAGGAAATGGAAATCCCAGACTCCTAGAGCCTAACTTCCCCTCCTGCCTCTGGTGACTTTTTAAATGAGTATCTCAAAATCTCTTGTTCTTCCTGAGGAGGCTGCATTTCGTGCACAGTAGTTCAGCATACTTAAGGATATATTGAAAGTAGTTCTTTCTGGCTGTGCACAGAGTATGTGTAGGAAGAGAAGACAAGGAGTGAGCTTGGAAGGCCTCACTGTGTTTTGGTACAGTTTTGAGAGATTTGGACTGTCCTCTGGATAATAGGAATATCTAAGAAGTTTAAGGAGAATTTTATGATTCCTGATGTTTTAGTGGAGAAAACAGATCTGGTGCAGAAATAAATGCACCAAATAAATACACAACTAAAGAAGCTCTGACATATCCTCACTCTGGCTTGTGTCACCCTGCTTAAGATGAAAGAACACACTGATGTGCACAGAGCCCCAAGACAGGCTGAGGAGTGAAAAGGCTGCAGAGTTCCGTGAAGATGCCACACCATCTCCGCTCAAGAAAATGTGTTGTTTGCATGAGTGATACCTGTATAGGCAGGGAGACGTGGGCACGCTGTCACTGGAAAGCAGGAGTTGCTTTGGGAATGCATCTGTAAAGAGGGACTTATTCCGATGTGTAGTTTCTTTCACAGAGACTGTTAACATTCGTGAAGTCCTTATGTGATTGGAATTCAATAAGACTGGCTATTTTGGAAACATTAGGAGGACAGATGCAAAGTGAGGCAAAGCTAGAGGTGGGAAGCCTCCTGGAGCCACTTCAGAAGACAGTAGGGGATGGAGAGGCTGCTTTGGGAGTCAGGGAGGTGAGAAGGAGTCTGCTGCGTGAGAGCGTAGGAGTTTTCTGTGGTTTCCAGTTGAAGCACTCCGATAGTTGTTCACCCATAGGTAGGTAGTTGGGACCCACATGAGACGTTAGATCCCCTCATAGACACATGAAAGTGGAATTTGTAACCTTGAGTTGACTGCCGAGGGCAGAATTCCAGGAACGCCATTGCACCATGTTTAAGAGAGAGGAATCAGAGATGAGGAGAAAGAAATGGAAGAGGTGGATGTTTTGGCAGCTGAGAGTTGAATAAAGGAGACTCCCTGACTTGAAAGCAGGACTCCCAGCTTGGCCCTATCCTCTGACCATGTCCTTATCTAAATAAGCTGGTTACAAGTAAGACAGCATCAGGCAGGATGGGACCTGGTCCTGCTCTTGTTGTGCAATCCAGTGGGGACAATGAGAGTGAAGATGCCAAGCACACACAGGACAGAGAATGACGGTCACACTAGACACAGGGAGTCTAGTGAGGACTAGGGAGCAAAGACACAAAGCGCTGTGAGAGCGTAGGCCAGGAGCTTCCTGAGCATGTGGAGTCCAGTCTAGGAATTGTCTAGTAGTGGTCAGAGGGAGCCAGTGTTGACCCAGGAGAACGGTAGCAGAAGCCAGGAGACAGCAGTCGGACTAGATCCTGCTGCGGCCCATCAAAGGATTTGATCTGAGGATTTGAGAGTCTTGTACAGGACTGAGGCGTCATAAGTAGCCTGGAGCTGGGCCCAGCCCCCCATTTCCCTTCGGAGAGCAGCCTCCTTAAATGAGTTTTGTTCATTCCAGTTGTTTAGCTCTCGTCCATTGTTTTATAAAGTGGTATTTTCCATTTTTTCCTTCTTGCTAGTATCTTTAGGCGTATAGTATTTATTTAGGTATCATTAATATTCTTTCTATAAATTTAGTCTTAGCTAATTATACCCACCACCAGCATTTTTTTTCTTCCAGGATGCAACAGCAGTCTTCAAACCACAAAATCAACTCAAACTAAAGATTCGTCATTTCAGGGATTAATGAGGAAACAACTCAAAAGAGACAAGTCCTGGGACTTCACCTCAGGAAATTTCTGCAGATCTGGCAACAGTTTTAAAAAGCAGGACAAAAATGAGAGCTTACAAATAATTCCAGTCACCCATACAAAAATCTTTACTGTAGATAAAAGCCATAAGAATTTTGAATTTGGTCCAAACGTCGACCTGAAGTCAGTTGGTAAACGAAAGATCGCTAGAGAAAAAACACAAAGAAATGGCCTCAAGGAAAATTCAAATTCACTTAATCAACCAAAAATCAAGACTGCAGAGAAACGCTATAAATGTAGTACTTGTGAAAAAGCTTTCATGCACAACTCATCCCTTCGAAAACATCTGAAAAACCATACCGGAGAGAGATTATTTCAATGTAAAGAATGTTTGAAAGCTTTCAGCCAAAGTTCTGCTCTTATTCAACATCAAAGAACTCACACTGGAGAGAAACCCTACATATGTAAAGAGTGTGGGAAAGCCTTCAGCCATAGTGCATCCCTTTGTAAGCACCTAAGAACTCATACTCTGGAGAAGTCTTATACATGCAAAGAATGTGGAAAATCCTTTAGCAGGAGGTCTGCCCTTTTTCTGCATCAAAAGATCCATGCCCGAGAAAATCCTCATAAATATAATCCAGGTAGGAAGGCATCCACTTCCCTTTCAGGATATCAGAGAATCCATTCCAGAAAGAAAACCTACTTGTGTAACGAATGTGGCAACACCTTTAAGTCTAGCTCATCCCTTCGCTATCATCAGAGAATCCACACCGGAGAGAAACCTTTCAAATGTAGCGAATGTGGCAGAGCCTTCAGTCAGAGTGCATCACTTATTCAACATGAAAGAATTCACACCGGAGAAAGGCCCTACAGGTGTAATGAATGCGGAAAAGGCTTCACTTCTATCTCAAGACTCAACAGACACCGAATAATTCACACTGGGGAGAAATTGTATAATTGTAATGAATGTGGCAAAGCCTTAAGTTCCCACTCAACCCTTATTATTCATGAGAGAATTCACACTGGAGAGAAACCATGTAAATGTAAAGTCTGTGGGAAAGCCTTCAGACAGAGTTCAGCTCTGATCCAGCATCAGAGAATGCACACTGGAGAAAGACCTTATAAATGTAATGAGTGCGGGAAGACATTCAGGTGTAATTCATCCCTCAGTAACCATCAGCGAATTCATACTGGGGAGAAACCGTACCAATGCCAGGAATGTGGGATGTCATTTGGTCAAAGTGCAGCTCTTATTCAGCATCAGAGAATTCACACAGGAGAGAAACCCTTTAAATGTAACACGTGTGGGAAGAGTTTTAGACAAAGCTCCTCCCTTATTGCACATCAGCGAATCCACACTGGAGAGAAGCCCTATGAATGCAGTGCATGTGGGAAGCTCTTCAGCCAGAGATCCTCCCTTACCAATCACTACAAAATTCATATTGAAGAAGACTCCTTGAACACAGATTTGCATGAGTAAAAGCAATTAACCAAAGTTCCTCAGAGAATATATACTTCATATTGGCTTCATAAATATAGTGAATATGAGCAAACTTTCAATTTAGTCCTATGAGATTAAAATTACAAGGATAAACCTTGGCTATATAATAATTGAGAAAGTTTTCCTACCTTTCAGTCACCTTTTAAGAACAGATACTTTAAAGTTATAAACATTAACATTGACCATTTGTAAGGTAAAAGGAACACTTTTATTTTGTCCATATAATATATAATATGTGCAATATATAAACCCTAGAAAAATCTGAGTTTAGAAGTGCTATGCTGTTGTTATTAGCAAAAGAAATATCAGCTATTAGCATATTTACTACAACTAATATTTTAATAGTAAATAACTAAAATATATGCATTTTTTAAAGCAAGGGACCAAACTTTAAAAAAAAAACTACCTCACAATGTCTGAAATTTTCCTTTTCCTATACTATTGTCAAACTGCATGAATTTTATTAAAGAGAAAGAAAAAATTTTGTGCTTCTAATTTTCTAACTTCCCTACAAACCTCGCACACTTAATATTCATATTCTAACTTTGTGCTGTGAATTATTTTCCTTCATTGCCTTGACTCATTAGTTATTAAGCCACGCCCTGAATGGTAGCAGTAAATCTTGTCACAGTTGCGTTGGAGCAAACAGCTAAACTTGCCAAAATGAGCTGTGTGAGCGATTAAGAAAGACATCTGACATAACCGGCTCTCATGCACACCACACACCTGAACCTCCAAACATGCCCGCCACACACAGACACGCAAAGGACAAAATTGCGTTTTCCAGTGCTAATAAATAGACATAATTTTTACATATGTGCCTTATTTAAGTAACCTAGTTTATTTTATGTGTGCATGCGAATTTCTAATAGTGTATTTGTAGATTCTTGGCCCTCACGATCATGCTATCTACAAATGTCATTTTTCTCTTATCAGTGTCTTGTTTTTCTTAAAATGTGCCACTACCTCTATATCATTTTAGTTTTTCTTATCTGATGACAGTGTCTTTTATTTATTTTTCTTATTTAAGCCCTGTACAACATGGTACCATACAATAAAAATAACAATACTTTCCCATTTAACATACTACTTCAGTTTGTGGATGCTTGTTCTGAAACTGACAGAACAGCTCTTGTGCTGAGTTTTATCATAAAGGAGTAGCATTTTGTTACATCCACTTCATGTATCGACTAAACATGATAGTTTTCCTCTTTATTGTTTTAAGAATAACATTGTTTCTGATTCTCACCACTACCAGGGTCTTATAACAACCCAGGCTGGCCTGGATGTCAACTATGCAGCTATCTTCCTGTTTCAGCCTCCTAAGTGTTGTATTACAGGCATGCACCACTGCACCCAGCAACTGTCCTAATTTTGATGGTGTATGAATGAAACAAATTCTTATGTGTGTTTGTGTGTAAGTCAAATTTCTTCCTTACTAAGTAGAAGCCCAACTGAAGTTACCAGGATTGTCTTTTACGAACTTAGAGCAGAAAGAAAGTAAACATTTTTATTTTATGCATGTGAGTATTTTTGCCTGCATGTATGTAAATGTACCATGTGTGCAGCTTCCAAGATCATAAGAGGACATCTGAAAACCTAGAACTAGAATTATAGTTGTGAGCTACCATGTGGGTGCTGGGAACTGTTGTGGGATAGTCTTTTTGTACAATGTACAGATGTGTCTCTGCCAAGGCACCTGTGTAAGAGGAACAGCAGGAGTCTTCTATCTATATGTTGCTTTCATTGGTTAATTAATAAAGAAAACTGCCTGGCCTGATAGGTCAGAACATAAGTAGGCGGGGAAGACAGAACTGAATTCTGGGAGGAAGAAAGCAGGGTCAAGAGAGCCACCGCTATGAAGCTGCCAGGTCAGATATGCTGAATCTCTTCCGGTAAACCATGACCTCGTGGTGATATACAGATTATTAGAAATGGGTTGAATCAATATGTAAGAGTTAGCCAATAAGAGGCTAGATATAATGGGCTAAGCAGTGTTTAAAAGAATACAGTTTCCATGTAATTATTTCGGGTAAAGCTACCAGGCGGAGGGAAGCTGCCTGCCGTTCCTTTTACACACCTGATTGGTTTAATAAAGAGCTGAATGGCCAATAGTTAGTCAAGAGAGGGTAGGCAGGGCTTCCAGAGAGAAAGAAGGATTCTGGGAGGAATCTGGGGTACAGAAAATTAATCAGTGAAACCTTAGGGAGCAGGGAGTCAGACATAGTGTGGAGGAGAGGTAATAAGCAACGTGGCAGAGACTGAGGCAACTCCCAGGAGAGGGGGCTTTGAAATGGAACTTTCCACCCAACATTCCAAAAATGGATGCCAGGGGGGTGGGGGAAAGCCTGCTAACTAAACAGTGGGACACACCTTTAATCCCAGCACTGGGACGGCAGAGAGGCTGGCAGATCCCTGTGAGTTTGAGACCAGCCTAGTCTACAGAGCAAGTTTCAGCACAGCCAAGCTTAGGCAAGGAAAGACAGAAAGCTGGTGAGGATGTGATTGAACAAATGAGTTATGTTCTAGTGTCAGCAAGCAACAGAACTTGGCAGCTGCAGCCATGTGGTTCTGGTTTTAGAGTTAAGGACAGAAGAAAGGAGTTATGGAATAAAGCCACAGAGCCCAGGCATGTGTCATGGTGTCCCTGAATGGAGGCCCAGTAGAGAGGCCATTTCATGAAGGTATGAATTAAAGCCTGGATTGCCTTAGAGAACCTACGATGTTAAAGTTGCCAGATCCGCTGGGATTCCTATCAAGGAAAGTTGCTAACAAGGAGTAAAAACAGTCCAAGAGGAAGGAGAGTGTTGCAGTCAACAAAGCTGAACAGAGTTAGAGATCTGAAGAGCATTTTTGATATCAGAGGTAGAGCTGCAGAGTTTGAAGTTTTCCCAGCTTGTTTTTGGTCTGGTTTTTGCCAAATATTTTCTCACTATGCTCCATTCCCTGCATTTGGAATGATAATGTATATGTGATCTGCTTTTTAATTTGATTTTTACCAGGGGGATTACAGTTAAGAGATTGTCATGTATCTCAGAAAAGACTTGGGACTTTGAAACAAGTTTGAGACTGTTATAGACTATGGGGACTTTTAAAGTTGAACTGAATTCATTTTTCACATTATGATACATGTATATCGCTATAAGCCTTTGGGGGCCAGGGAGTGAAATGTGGCAGCTTGAGAGAAAATGGCCCTTAAAGGGAGTGTCACTTTTAGGAGGTGTGGCCTTGCTATAGGAAGTGTGTCACTGTAGGGGCAGGCTAAGAGGTCTCAGCTCAAGTTTCCCTCAATGTGACTCTCAGTTGACCTTTTGCTGCCTTTCTGTAAAACATGTAGCCAGCACCATGCATGCCTGCATGCCCCCATGCTCCCTGTCATGATGATAATTGACTGGACCTCTGAAACTGTAAGCAAACCACCCCAATTAAATGTTTTCTTTATAAGAGTTGCCATGATTATAGTGTCTCTTCACAGCAACAAAAACCCTAACTAAGACACTGAGTAAGTGGGAGGGCAGATGTTTTAAGAATACCTCAGAGCCTCAAAGAGATCTCTGGCTTCTTTATATGTTACTACCCAAGGTGTAAGGAAGACCTTCAAGTAGATAAGGACGTCTTCCTAAAAGTGGGCCAGGTAGTATGCTCAGGACTTTCCTGGGGAAGCTTAGAAGCAGTACTCCTGGAAGAAGGCGTCAAGGATTCATAAGAAATTTTCCATAAATCCATTATCCCTAAGTTACACAACTATGTATGCATGCAACCCATGAAGATCAAAAACAAGTGGCATAGTGGTCACCATGTGGCTCAGCTTGGCTGGATCTTTGTCAAGCAGCTGTGCTGGCTTTATGACTTTTGCCATTCTCATCAGATATGTCTGCACCTTACCTCATCAAAGAATATGATCTAGAGACCAATTCTATTAAATGTGTGGCTACTTTGAAACCAGCATAAAATCATATCTATAAACCATTTCCTCCCAATCTTGGAGTAGACTGATTTATATGTGTCTATCAACTTGTTAATTTTGCTCTTCAAAGGTTGTACATTTGTGGTGATATTTTCTGGTCAGCTTTTCTATCTGTTCCTGAGCGGAGAGAATACAAGTAACTTTGGTGGAACTATGCTGGCAGTGCAGGCCTGTGACTTCAGTATTCAGGAAGCCTTGAACTTGTATCACTCCTCCTGCCTGATTCCCCAGTGCTGAAATTACAGGTGCTCACCAATCTGCCTGACTCAGGAACAGATTTTCTTTACTTGTAATTGCTTTTTGCTGGGTTACTGTAACATTTCTTGTAAACCCTCAATTTTTTTAAAAAAAAAAAGTGTTTATGTATGTATGTATTGTAGGCAGACTTTTCTTTCTCACCTGCCAGTTCCCAAATAACCAACACAAAGATGTGATATTAATTATAAGTGGTTGGCCAGTAGCTCAGGCTTGTTGTTAGTTAACTCTCACAATTTAAATTAATCCACTTATATTAATCTACATTCTACTATATGGCATTATCTCTTTCATCTTGTACATCCTGTTTTCTTTGTGCCTCACTACCGACTCCTCTGACTCCCCACTTCTTCCCAATGTCCTTAGTCTCGTTTCCCCACCTAACCTCATCCTGTCCAGCTATTACAGCTTCTTTATTAAACTGTCACAGCGTAATTTTCACAGTGTAAAGGAATGTTCTACAGAGTATGGTATGTGCATGTGAATGCAGGTGTCCGTGGAGACCAGAGGTATTAGATGCCCTGGCCATGAAGTTACAGCTGGTTGGAGTAGCCTGAAGTGGGTACCAAGAACAGAATTCCGGTTCGGTGCAAGAGAAATAAACGCTCTTAACTACTGAGCCATCTCTCAAGCCCTCAATTGGGATTTTTTTTTCATTTTCCCATATTTTTAAATAGTACAGGCAAACTATGGAGAAAGAGCCAGACACTACTACTGAAGGGCAATAAAGAGATTTCTATTCGGTATGTTGGCAATAAGGGCAGCAACTTGCATTAAACAAGAGCTCAACTCTGAACACAAAAAAAGCCAGCTAGAGATTTGTAGCCAACAAACAGAGAGCATGGTGGACATCAAGGAGGAGCTTTCTGCTAAAAGTATGTCACAGAGTTAAGACATAGAGGTGGGATTTAAAGAATCCGGTCACATATAGAGGGTGAGAGACTGAGCGAGTTTTTTGAGGTGAGTCAAAAAGTGGCCTCCAGAAGCCTCTCCAACATTTGGTTCAGGAGCCAGTCTTTGTCGAAGGAAACAGAAGATTCGCATCCTGAAGGAAAAAAGGGGATAGGGGACAATGTGTAGAAGAGGGACTATTGAGGAAGGAGGCCAAACGAAGACGCATGTGGATGGAAGAGGGTGGCCAGGGGGTGAACGTGACGCAATGCACTGTATGCACGTATGATTATGTCAAGTTTTTAAGAAAAACATTAAAAAGACACACGACCACCTTTATTTATTTATTTAGATAAGAACCAAACATTATAGTCTCTAACCTGTCTTTTTATCCTAAAATGCCACACGCTTCTCCAAGCTCCAGAGCGGCGGATGCAGCCGAAATTACCTGAGCATCCACGAGGTTGGTTTTCCACAGAGACAATCCTGCAGCCCTAAGAGCGTCTGACAGAGAGCCCCTGTCTCCGGCTCACGGTGCGCCTCGAAGTCTCTAGAACATTACATTACTAGCTTACCTCTCATGCTCCCTCATGCAAGGGGGTGTCCAGGGTCCTCTTACTTTAGGGAAGGAAAGGTTCTAAAACGGGTTTCTTTAAGGTAACATGTTTAAGGTGGTCACCGCGCACGTACATCAGAGAAACCACCCCTCGCTAGGAGCCCTCCAGCTGCGCCTGCGCCGTGGGTCACTTTGGCCAGGCCCCATGGCCTTGTGGGAAATGTAGTCCAGCGCGCCCGGCGCGGCTGCGTGAGCGGCCAGCCTCTGGTTTCTTTCGTGGCTTGGGTGAGTGCGGAGCCTCAG